CTGTTATTTATGGTGGATTAAACTTTTACATGTATTCTTCCCCCAAGGTTTATGAAATAGAGATTAAAGTTAAAAAAACAAAAAACAAAAAAATCACACCACTAGAGGTAGAAAGAGCAGATTAGCTACTACAATGATTCCACCTAACAGTTGCCAAACCAAGATGTCAGCCACATGGGGTGGGGGGATTGTTTTTTTCAATAAGTCACCAGATTTCAATAAGTCACTTGCACTTTAAAGGGCAAGTCCACTGGCATGGAGGGGGTAATTCCATTTTCCAAAATTCACTTGGGAAAGTGGACTTACCCTTTAAGAGCAGTACAGCAAAATCTCTAACACTGCAAGGCTTTCCCTTTTAAGAAGCACGCCGTTAGAACTTCTATAGCTACTCCATAGTCTTAGGCTCAGTTCACACCTAGAGTTATGTTCGTGTCGCATACATTTAATCTCCATGTTTGCCACCCTTCCAAAAAGTAGTGCATGTAGCAAAATCTGTGACATGCATTAAGCATTTGAACACATGCAAACAGGGAGCAAACATACTTCTGGCAGGGGTGCCATTAACTAATGTCAACGCAAGTGAGTTTACGAACATGCTTAAAAATGCACGTTTGACATGTGTTCTGCAACACCTAGGTGTGAACCGAGTCTAACCCTGATCCTAGAGTTGCCATTACTCAGTGTCTATGGCTACATAGTAACATTACTGGGGTCCAACAGTAAACTCTATCCAGGAACAGCAAAAGGAGCTAGTCAGAACACATTTACAGGGGGTTTTTTTCTAATTAGAGCTCCAAAGTATTTTTGTCTGAGTGGCCTCAAGAGATACTGCAGGGAATATGCTTTTGCATGATCCAATTCGCTTCACAACTTCAAAAGTCAGCAAGCTTACTTACAAAACGGGAAGAGTTGTCATTTTTAACAGTCTTGGCATTTCCAAAGGCTTCAAGAATTGGATTAGCTTGCAGCAGCTGCCTCTCCAGCTCCCCCTGAAACAAAAACATTTGTAAAATTATAAACAAACAGAAATCAGTCACTACAAAATGCAATAAAAGGTAGTTTACATAGGCCTAAAACCTTGTTTTTGCAGTGCCCCTCATACCAACCTGATCTTTTTTGGATTTGTGTGAGGTTGCAACATAAGCCAGATACTGGATTACTTTCTTAGTATTTTCTGTTTTGCCAGCACCAGATTCTCCACTAGAAAAAAAAAATGTGCACAATAAAATATTCAGCGTCACTTCAGCAAGCATTTTTATAGGCCAAGTCAAAAATGCGTCACTTAAAAAACAACATTTTTGCTCAAAAATTAGTATACTCCATCACTTTCTGGTGATTATTTTTTTTTTTTTTTTTAAGCATTAGGCATACAAATATTACTTCATCACAGTTGTGTTAGAAAGCTTCTACCCACAGTGCCATCAGTTTTACCAGAAATGGATAAGGCTTACACGATAACCTGACTATTCCTAAACCTGACTATTGCTAATACAGCTTAATGTAATTTAGCATTTCACTGACCAATTGTGCCAACATATTATGACTGTTCTCTGGCTCTGAGAAAACAAATTCAATTTGAAACAAGGTCCAGCACAAAGGAAAAAAAATGTTTTAAAATTCCCTCCTACTCCATAGACTGGTTTTCAAGGTGTAGGAATAAATGCTTGCACTAAGGATACAAACCTATAAGCTCCCAACAGTGGGATACATCTATGGATAACGCTAGCATTTTGTGAAGTGCTACAATACAGTAACATTTAATCCAATATCTGAACTGTGTATATTAACGTGAAAGGCACTGCAATGCACATGTGCAAGGCTGAAGCTGGCCTATCTGGCGTATTTAGGTGTAATATAAATGCCAATTCGTTAAATGTATTTTACATATTTCCTTTAACATTAAGCCCACAGACAATATAGGACATATACTTACGTGCAAAGAATGGATTGATCTTCTCTATCTGGAAGGAAAGAAACATTCAAAATTTTATATTTTGTCACCAAACAAATCTTTTTTTAAATCAACCTAAATGTCAAATTAAATAGGCTTCTGAAAGTAAATTTTTCAAGCAGGAAGAGGATAGAATGTACCCGTAATATGTTATATTTAAAAAAACTGTTGACATACCACAGCTGCAAACAATGAGGATATTAATAACAGCTCTACAACCATCTGACGCTAAAGGTTCTGTCGCTGTTCTTTATTTCAAGAGGTTTAAAAATATAAAAGGTTTCCTCTTATTAGTCTATCATATCAAGATGTATTTTACCTGTTTGTATACTTATACTTAGCTTGTATACTTAGTGAAAACAGATGCGATACTGCACTTCAATGCATCTTTCAAAGATTTGCTGCAATAAGTTAGCAGAGGACGATTACAGCAATGCCAGAAGACTGTGGTATAGACAAGCACAGGAAGTCCGCCCCACCTCCCTTCACAGTATGAGCCATAAAAGGAAGAAAGATGAAGCTGTACTACGGTGATGCAAGTTCTAAGCTGACTCATTCTAGTTGATCTCAGCTTCCGCTATGTCTTATTAAACAGGCACACACGCAATATTTCAGTCAAAAAAATCATCAACCATTCAAATGTATGCTGTGGCATAACTAGCAGTTCTAAAGAACACAAATGTTTTACATTAAACAGATAAATAGACCTGTCCTTTTAGACCTGTCCTTTTAGCACCCATTTTCTGCATTTGCACAGTTGGGCTTCATTTACATGGGTGGGCAAAGCTGTACACTGATCAAATCAGCATAGTTTTGGAGCAGGTACTGCCCTATGTTTGCAATCAATTGCAGAAAGGAAGCCAGTACAACTCAGACAGGCTGTTCTTATGTAACCACTTAAGGAGAGATTGCCTGCAACTAGGGACAGATGAGCGGGTCTTGGTCTAGAGCAACTCATCTATCACTAGCTGCAGGTAATCGCTCCTTAAGTAATTGCATGCAAACAGCTGGAAAGTGAGCCTGTCATTTATATGTGCAGTCCACAACAAACCATAAAACAGACACACTGATCTGCACTGTCTACAGCTCTGCATGCCCGTGTGAATAAACACTTATAATGGATTACCTATAACCAGAGTACTCCGACATTGTCACTAGAGGCTATTGTCTAGCATTCATAAATTTGCAAAATGGTAACCCGGGGCAAGCACAACGTGGCCTCCACTTTTATGGGAAGCTGGTTTATCAACCCTTTAGGCTGCACAGTGAGCTCACAGTTAATATCACAGAGGAGCAGGGTAGTAAGCAAGTATAAAAAAAAAGTGTGGTGGGAGAGGAAGGGGTGGTGATAAAGGATAGGGACACTAATCCCTGGTATCCATCAGAAAAACCATTTCCTCCCAACTGCCTCCCCTTACCCTTCACATGCCATAAATAACCCTCCACTACAGACCACAGATCAGTGCTCAATCTGACAAGCAACTCTAAAACCAAAAAAGTTACTACCCAAGCAACAATGTGATCCACAAACATTTCATGCGTGTTAAAATTTCACTTATGGTATATGGGGTACAATTGGAGCTTAAAATCAATTGTGTCATTTTCAGAAAAATATGGATCCCACTAGTGCCCTGCTTCTAAAATGCTAGTTCCCTGGCTTGCAGTAACCTTTCACCCTGTTCCTAATAAAGCCGTATTTTCCCTTTGCTGTGCGCACACAAAATGCACATTAAACCCCAAAACATTTTTGGGATACAGAGATGCTGTAGATCAAATAGTGATAGTTGCATTTTAATGGAACACATTTGTGCTACTGACAAGCACTCAAAATAATTTTAGTGCAGACAAACCATACAATTCCCATCTTCTTGGTGAAATATAGAAGATAAAGTTGTATCAAGTAAATAGATATAAAATAGGTCAAGCTTCATAATCCGGTACAATCACAAAGCTGCAAAAAACTATGGTACCTAAAAGCTTCCATAAAAAGTATTTACAGCTCAACATTTTAGATTTAACCAACAATTGCAAAAGAAACCATACTCCCTCACATCTAAAGGTGCCCATACACTGTACGATCGTACAATAATCGCGGGAAATCCAGTGATCGTAGGATAATCGCAAAGTGTATGGAAGGCATGCGACTGTTTCTACTGTACGATCGCACGTCTTCCGTCGAACAAGCAGGCTGGAAAATTTGCCGAGACTCGTATTAGTGGCGTGCTTGTTCGACAACTGCCGAACGGGCCGGTTTGCGCACAGTCATCGGAAGCCCGTCACTCAGGGGGGCGGGCTTGCGATGGTCGCAAGTACGATCTGCCTGCCCATGGGCAGATCGTACGTTTTTTTAATTACAACCCTCGCAAGACCAAAGTCTTGCGAGGGTTGTAAAGTGTATGGCCAGCTTTACGCCGCCATGTATGGGAACACCCAACATTTTCTTAAGCATGTGCACCTTTATGCATTTGTATGTCTGTGTACGTGGGATAGTAAACTTGTTTTTTTTTATTGAAACAAGATATTTGTACCTTTTTTTATTTAATTGAAATCACAAGGGAGCTGATAATCCCCCTGTTTGATCGCATAGTGCAGATGACAGGTTCTCTTTGAGACATCAGGGTCTATTAGACCCCTACTAATCTAACTTCTTCACTCCGCTGAAGCCAATTCAGCACCGATTAATCAGTCAGTTACTCCCCTGGTCAGTGTGACAGGGATCTCACAGCTCTGAAGAGAAGTGCTCAGAACTACAGCCTTTTAAAAAAAAAAAAAAAAAAAGTTTATTTCTTTAAGACCCTACTGCATATTTTGCATTTCATTTTTACAGCCAAATTTGGGAGAACACTCACTTTATATTTATGTGGTCCCATTCTACCAGAAGCCTTTTTTTTGCCTCACCGGAGCCAGTAACACATTGTAACCACAATCAGTGGATTGTGGGTGCAATGCTTTGGCTCCTACAGAATTTCCCTACCAACCATGACCATACCCTACCAAGGTACAGAAAATTAGCTGATCACCAGTACTCAAAAGTTATTGTTACAAATCTTAGTGTTCATTTTATTGATATATAGCGTCACATATCAAATAGCCAATGTTTTGGGGCCGCGCAGGGTTTCAAGGCCTTCATCAGGGCGACAGTTACCTACACGGTCACTTTGATGTAGGGACCCTGCGTGGCCCCGAAACGTTGGCTATTTGATACATATGATGCTATACATCAATAAATGAACACTAAGATTTGAAACTATAGAGTGCTGGTGATCTACTTTAAGCTTGAACACACACGGTGCCATCCATGTCCTTCACTACGAGCACCACATTTGCTACCGGTTATAAATGCTGAAAGGAGGAGTGCAGGGGACAGATCTTGCATTCTAAATACCAAGGTACAGAGATTTAGGAAACATGACGGAGTGTTTTGCAGTTGGAGATTTTCCTAATACTACCCGTCGATAAAATCGATCAGCTGATCGAGGGATGCCAACTGGCAGGGTTCCTCCAAACCAGCAATTCTCACAATGTATGGGCACCCTTAGCCTGGAGAGACTATTATTGCAGCTATGATACCTCGGACTGGTAAGCTGCAATATATAAAATGTTTGGTTTTGGGCTTATTACTTTAAAGAACAGTACTAACAAAGTACAGTTCAAGGCCAGGCCCAATTAAAGGTGTTTTCACACAGGTTGGTTTGATTTTATATAAACTTTTAAAAACAACAAGCTTTAAGTTTATAAACTTTTTTTTATAAATAATTATTAAAAGAGTGTATTCATACTTTGTTTACAAAAACATGCTGGCACCTGCATGCCTGGTGTTTAATAGTGCAGGTATGGGGTTTAACTATGCTAGGAAATAGGAGCGGTGCATCCATCATTCAGCAATAAACTTAACCTGATTTCCTGCTATTCAGACATAGGTCCTGTATTTCTATAGCACCGCCACAATAGCAGCTTTTCTAGGGTGACAGAAAGCTGCAACTAATGGTTAAAGTTCATTACTTGCTCCAACCATAAAAACTTCCTATTATATATTAAAAAACAGAAACCTTTTAACTGGGGCTTCTGCCAGTGATTCCTGTTGGTGCTCAGTGCATAGGGCAGAGCCCAGATCACTGACTGGCCCCATAAAGCTGCTCACAGAACAGGTGAGGTTTACTTCTTGTAGGTTAATTAGGCACATTTCCCTTTCAGTGCTACAGAATTCTGCAGCCAAGAATGAATATAGCACAAAAGCACATGTGCCTCCTCTAACCTGAACCCTGCTAAAGTTTGGCACTGCTACACTAACTATTCCCCAAGTATGCATACTGTTCACTCACTAGTGCCAGACCCTGATCCAGACATCTACATCTCTTAAGGTGGCCATACACCTTATCGGACGAAAAGTGTCGTCCGATAAGGTGTATGTACGTGTCGTACGATTGTGGTACGGTGGTCCCATTATGCCCCGATTGTCGCAAGGTTCAATTAGCCGCAATTAAAGAAAGGCACCTGGACGAATTGCGGTAATCCACCGCACGTATTTTTGTTTGCGCATTAGCAGTGTAGAGCGATTATCAGACGAAAAAACGCAATCACATACGATAATCGTAAGGTGTATGGGCACCTTTACACACATCCCATCTGCACTCAGCACTTTGCAACACACTCTCCCCACCTTAAGGCCTTGTTCACACCAAGTGTGTTCCAGGAGTAGAGCAGTTACAGACCGGATCAAAACTGCGTCCGATGTATTCCAATGGTATTTTGGGCCGCAGCGTTCAGTTCCAGAGCATGTAAAAAAACTGCAGCAAGCCCTATTTTACCTGCTCTGGAATGCATGTAAACACATCAAAAACGCCCTGGAACGCACTGAAAGCCCATTCTAAACTAAACAAAAAACGGCCCAGAACGCATTAACAACGCAGTATAACACTGCACTGCGTGTGCAGAAACTCATGCAGATCTGGTCTGCATTTGGTGCGATGTCTACAATAACTCATCTTCCATCTCTTCCTGCCTGTGTTGCAGTTGGAGAGTTTCCATTTACCTGTCTGGTAATTTGTCAAAAACATAAGCTAGTGCTTGGTTTGCGCTAGCTTTTTGCTCCACTTAGAGCTTATTTTAACATCTTCCAGAAAAGCAGAAAGCAGTGCATCAGACAAATGTAATTAAAGGCTGTAAACATACCTTGCATCATACTCCGATATGCATTATCTGTGATTGCATAAATGTGGGGTGGCATTTCATGCCTCTTTTTGCCTTTGTACATTTCCACAATTTCTTCAGAGTAAATTGGAAAGTTCTTGTATGGGTTTATTACCACACAAAACAAACCAGAATAAGTCTATGGATATATAAAAAAAAAAAAAGGGGGAAAAGTTCAGTTTAAATAACAGAAGCCATGTAAACATCCCCCCAGATTAGGTCGTTCTAGGAAAGGCTAAAAGGTGCCCATACACTGCTTGATTCTCGTACGAGAATCGCGGGAAATCCCGCGATCGTACGAGAATCGAGCAGTGTGAACGAAGACGTGCGACCGTTTCTACTGTACGGTCGCACGTCTTTTGTCGAACGAGCATGCTCGAAAACCCGCCGACAATCGTACGATTCTCGGCGGGTTTTCGAGCCTGCTCGTTCGACAGCTGCGGAACGGGCCGGTGTGCGCACGCGCACACTGCCCGTTCTGCATTGCGGTCATCGGGTTTTCGATGATCGCAAGTACGATCTGCCCGTCGAAGATTGGCAGATCGTACGAGGTTTTAATAAGCTTACGACCATCGCAAGACAAAAGTCTTGCGATGGTCGTAAGGTGTATGGGCACCTTAATACAATGAACTACAGTTAAAAGCAGTTAAAAAAACAACCGGCTGTGTTCTCACAACCTATAGTGACTGCGGAGGACTACAGTTACTCCCTTGCATGATATCTCTGTATAAACTTGATCAAAAGATCTGTAGAAAACACCTTTAGGGACAATATACACAGGTGTTTTTTTACACTCTGAGGCTTAACTTTAACCACGAAGCCTTTTAAACAATGCTTAGTGTGGCACACACAGCATGAAATCCTAAAGATAGCCATAAACGACTGGAATTTTGGCCAATTCGTGCTGAAATTTGAGCCATAGACGGCCCTGTGGGCAAAACCCGTCTCCACAAAAATAGATTTGAAAGTTGATTAAACTAGGTGGGAAACTCTCAGCCGAACAGTGACTCCATCCTTTGAACAGTCAAGGCAAACAGGCAAGTGATACCCTGGAGGCCAAATAGGTATTTTAAAAAGCATTTTATTTAAATAATGGAGTTAGTTATTTACGTCTGCTCCGCTACATTTGAACCCTACCCCTTAAGCTAGCATACATGCGTGTGTTATGCATACAAGATAGAGATATCTGATATTCACAGTCAGATATGAAATTAATCCCAAGTTACTTAACATTGTTCATGGCAGTCATGTAGTTAACAGTAAAAATCATTTATTGGCATTTGTTTTAAGCTGTAGAATTTAAAAAAAAAAAAAAAAAAGTTGGTCAAAAGGCATTGTGTGTCTTTATAATAAAGCGATTAAAATGTTTACTTACATATATTAACCCAGAATAGTATCTCTCCTTCAGATTGTGCAGGACGGATGCTTCATTCAAACATGTCAGCTCTGCCATGTCTTCAACTTTAGCGAACTTGGGGGGGTTCATCTTTTGGACGTCATCTTTATTTACTTTGACCTTTTTACCATTCTCCGCTAGTTCAACAATCACCTCATCACCAGACTCTTCTTTCAGACTGGCTGCTTCGAAACCGTGCTTTTCTGAGGGTATCCATACTTGTTTTTTTGCTGCCCAGTCTGCCTGGGCCAAGGGATTGTTAATGAGATTACGATCCACATAAAGGTACTTGTCTGCATCTTTTTGCGCCATGATTTTTCAGGACAGCGGACCTACAAAAAAAAAAAAAAAAATAGTGTAAGAACTCTATTACTTATATACCCATTGTTGTTAAAGTGGACCTTTACCCATATCTTTAAAAGTAACAAGCACACCTTTAGAAATGTTTAATGACAACATACAGATACTTCTAGATAATTGCCGGCTTTGTATCCTTTGCATATCTTATTTGTCTTTTCTTATCTAGTGTTTTGACAATCGGCCATTTTACTAAGGGCAGATTACAAGCTCTCCTTTTACTTCCTGGATTTCTTGCACATATGATTAGACATGTGATCATGCACATCTCAGGGGGGGAAAAAATGCCTTTCCCTGGAGATTACTGATGAGATTTACCAGCAGTGCTCTGCTGATGACAAGGCAATCCCAGTGTGCATTGCCAAACTGAAGTAACTATGCCCGTTCAAAACAGGAAGTGAACGCTCAGCCAGCAGAAGTATTTACAAATCACAGCATTTTACACGACAAGTATCTTACTATTAATCATACATAGAGAGATGCATTGGTAGAATTAGATTTTTTGAGTGTAAGGGTCCACTTTAAATGGCAAACTCGTGTATTTTCAGCAAGCACAGTCTATATTGCCCATGTTTACCTTACAGTAATTTTAGATGCAACTTCAGTATTTCACATGCCTATTTAAAAGTTTTATCTGTATTAAATCAAGAGTATTAATGTAAAATTGCTAGGAAAGGCAGCAAACCCATTTATAAAAACTCTGCTTAGCTCTCTAGTGCAAACCAATATTGATAGTAATATGGGGTCTGCGATTGCTGACCTCCCAACAACACCAGTTGGCTTGTTTCTCTGGCACCAGTACTTTCTCTGGTCACTGATCGAAAACATATGCAGATTAGAAAATCAGAGCACAGGCAGAACTCCTGATCTGCATACTTGTACCAGGGCAGTGTCTCAAAGTACTAAATCCATTAAAACAGCCAGGCAATTAGCATGTTTAGAAAACAAACTCCACATAGGATTCCATTAACAACAACTCCAATAATAGATCAACCAAAGTGCATAGTTTTCAATGAAACGGCTCCTAGGAAGTGTATTTTAGGAAGCCGAAAAAGGACAACCACTATGCAATACTGTGCAGAAGCAGCTATGACTGATTTTAGGTACATATAAAATGACAAACTGCACATACAAATCAGGTTTTTTTAAATGTATAGACTGGAAAAATATGAAAGAGGGAAAAAAAAAAAATATGCCCTTAAACATATGTTCACAAAAGGCCTACGGCTACTGACACAATGGATAAGCAGGTGTTTAGGTACATCTTAACTAACCTTACTGGAATAGGAAAATTAAACGTACCAATCAACTTGCAAGCACTAATCTTTCTAATGCTCACCTCCATAACGCACCTGGCGTGAACACATTTCCTTAACTGCGTTTTGAAAAAAGTATTTTGTGAGCGAGCCCCCTGGAGCAATGTGTTGTACTAAACTCATAGTGCTCAACCTCCCCCAGGTGTGGACACACAATTGTGCCACTGAGGAGCCTATCAGTCAGACCTCTTTGTCAGGAGGCAATTTTAAGTCATGAGTACATCCCTCATGTCACAATATACAGCAACAGTATAATATATATCTTATCATTACAACGCAGCCTTAGAGCTCCAGTCAGTGACCTTGTCTAGCCGGAGAATGTTATTAGTCTGCTGCAGGAACCATTTCCCGTTCTGCTCTTCCCTAGGGCCGCAATATTGCAACTGTGCAGCAAGTCACAAAGTAAAGTCAGCTGCAAGGAGCTGGATTTGTGTCATTGTGTCTCATGATTTGAGACATTTGTGAAGAAAAAAAAAAAAAGCCAAGAACTGAACAGGATTCACATGACCTTTATCTGAGCTAACATCTTAGAAAATTTAAATTGTGGCACTGGAAAGTAGGCCAAGAAATCCAGCAGATGAGGGCGTTGTCAAGAGGAGAGTGCCGTGATCTCTGAAAGGTAATATATAGCGGTGTCACACTTACACATTTAGCACATGTGCACCTAACTTGGGAGGGGAAATAAAATAAAGAGGCTACAAGGTTCTTGATTGCCGCGTCCCTGCTGGACAGATCATTCTTTCTGTTCTAGGGCCATGGGGGAATTCATCAACACTGGAGCAGACAATCTGGAGCAGTTGCCTATAGCAACCAGCTTCTCCCTTCAGTCAAGCTTTGAAAATCAAAAGGTGGATGCCGATTGGTTGCCATGCACAGCTGCTCCAGATTTGATCAATTCCTCCCATTGCGTCATACAGAAAGTGATGGGAAATTTAACATATGTCATAACAGGAGGATACATTTTCCAATGGTAACACCTGTTCTGGGGACAAGGGTAAGAGGGGATATCACCTTGCCTTGGAGAGATCTTTTACTTACTATTGCGTCTTGGACAGAAAATGAGGCGATCTTCCCCTCACCCCAGGGATGCCACACACAAACAGGTGAAATCTTGCACACATTAGCTGGTGGTATACATCACTTCTTGTGAATGGTTGAATCACAATGTTTAATGTCCAACCTACTTTACAGCCATAAAACTAAAAAATCCAGATCTGTGCTGGAGGGGAAAAGGCACAAACAAAAACACACAACACTTGTGATGAAGTTACACTCAATACATTCTTTGGCAAATATTTCAACACTTGGCAAACTGACAGTCACATATTAACTTTGTTACAGCATTTCCGGCATCTGCCTGAAAGTGAAGCGAAGCTGAAATTGCCTTTTTTGGAGATAGTAAGAGCAGGCTGGGCCTTTCAACACAGAAACAAAAGATGAAATAGAGATTTGCATACAAGTTGTTTTTTTTAAACATATGGTGACGGTTTCAGTTTCTACACACATTTGTCCAATTATACACAAGCATACCCCAACACTGATGGTGAAATGCACACTGTGCTAGCGTGTTTAGAGCTGGGCATACTTTAACTGGCTCACCACTCCTCTTGGAAGTTTCCACAGAACTTGAGCTCACATTTAAACAAGCAGGAAGATGGGAATTACTGGAAGTCCTAAACACAAACTGCATTGTTTTCAAGGTTGTGAGGAAGTGAAATCTGGACTTGAAAGTCTAAAAACTGTAGCTGGCTAATAGAAAGAAATTTTAGACACCTAAATGGAATGGGAACCCTAAAGCTGGCTACACACTGAGCCAATTTCAGCTAGATCTTGACGAGCCTGGAAAACCGGCTGAAATTTGCTCTGTGGGTGGCCGTGTCTGGCAGCTCGTGCCCAACAACCTTCAACTGAAAAATCTGAGGAGCCTGGTGGAAAATGGTCAGGTGCAGTCACTGCTCAGGTATTTTGACAGTTGCATCAGGAGATTCCTCCATCCCTACTAAACAGTTTATGTCCTTCTGCTGATCTGACAGATGCCAACATCAATGCACCAAAAAACACACGGGCAGTGGGCATGGCAGACAGAATATAGGAGGTAGTGGCATAGCGAGCATCGACGGCTCCCTGCATCTTAAAGCAGGAGAAAAACACGTACGCAATTGCTCCATACCAGCACGGATCTGCTTCCGTGCTTGCCATGGTCAGAATGAATCGGAGATGTGGAACTGGAAGGATCACCAGGTATTCCAGTGCAAATGAAGATCACAATAAAGAACAGTCTACATTTACCCACATCATCTAAACACAGATACATATGTGATAGTGTATGTTACCGGAAAAATTCCTAAGTGCAAACCTTGCGTGGCCACAACTAAGACCATCATCACTCAATAAGGGCTGTTGACAAAAAAAAGCACACAGGCAGTTAATGCAGACACAACATAGCCCTCCATGGAATGGCCACATGGACATCAAGAGTATTTTTTATGTATCCTGCACAAATTTCAAGGATAGGAAATGGTCAAAGAAAACATGCATGAAGATTCACTTTAAAAAAACAGCACTATCAAGGTGTATGTAACTGTACAAAAGTTGAATAGTTGTTGGAATTGCTAACTATGCAATCCCCAGCTATTTTGTATGTAAAGGAAAAAGGTTACCTGAAATGTGGGACACAGATTTTCTCTTCCACAGTAAAGACTCTCCTCTCAAAAACACACAAAAAAACCCCAAACTACCTTTTAAACCACCAAATGTTTTGAAGCTGCATTCTTTAGATTCCTTTGCATCATGTTAAATGAAGCATATGCTCTCTCCAGACAAAACTGGAGGCTCTCTTCAAGAACACTATGCTGATAGAAATATGTGCTGCCGCCGATGACCTGACAATGCAGGTTGCCTGGCAGACCTGCTAATCCAATATCTTAACTTTTGAGACACTGACCTGGAAAACAAAGTGTACTAAATCAGGAGTTCCAATTTCACTGACTTTACCAACATTGTACTTGCTCCAGGTCACTGACTTCAGAGACAACCAAAATATCTCCAGTTTTCATCTCTGCAATGGATTTGTATTTAGCTGTGTGGCTGAAGTTCAGCTTGAATTTTGAAGATTTGCACAAATGTAAGTGTTCTATGCCTAGTGTACTTGCTGGGATCGCTTAACTTTGAACAGGGTATCTGCCATCAAGTGCCCCAGATATTTAGAGGAGTCTTCCAAACACCTTCCAAATTAAAAAGTACCTGAGTTCAGGCTCTCATGGGTACGTTCCCTGGGGGGCTCCACATCACCACATTGGCCCAGGCTCACAGCACTGCAGTGCACTCACACATCAATATGCAAGCATCCTCCTTTGCTGCAGTAAGGACTGCCCATTGCCACCTGACAACAGAAGAACCCACAACGTCACCATACCAGAGAGAAAACTACTGGATTTAAGTTATAGTTTGCGGCTTGGAGTGAACGGGTCCTTAAAGCACCTTAAACAGCAAGGCAACTAGCATTTGCAAAATAAAAAAAAAGGCAATGGCAATCTTCAGGTTTTAGGCTGGGTTCACATCTTTATGGTGTGGTAACACACATGCGTTGGTGCAATATTGTGCCGTTCACTTTAAATGGCACCCCATCGACCTAAGGCAATGCATCTGTGCTGCAGCAC